ACACGCTATTCATTAACTTCATGAATGCAGCTGGCACATTCGTCAAACCAAACGGCATGATTACAAACTCGTAATGACCATACCTTATCCTAAAGGATGTCTTACACATGTTTGTCTCCTCTATGGGTATTTGATGGTTCTCTGATGCCAAATCGATCTTAGAGAACCGAGTAGCTCCCCTGAGTTGGTCCAACAACTCATCTCTTCTGGGAAGTGGATACTTGTTCTTCACAGTCACACGGTTCAATCCGCAGTAGTCAATGCAAAGTCTGAAACTTCCATCCTTCTTCTTCACGAATTACATAGGCGCACCCCATGGTAAACTGCTCGGTCTTATGAACCCCTTGTCCAGCAATTCTGTTAGCTGCTTCTTCAGTTCAGCCATCTTAGTCGACGTCATCCGGTATGGTGCTTTAGACAATGGAGTTGTCCCCGGCTCAAGTTCAATCGTAAACAGATCTGAATGAGCTGGTGGCAGTTCAACTAACGCCTGAAATACATCCTCAAAGTCTTGCACCACCGGTATACTGCCCAAGTCAACATCCGGTCCTCCTTCTGTGGTAGTGATCATTTCTAGATACGCCTCATAACCCTTCTCTATCAGCCGTTCGGGTTGAATAGCTGAAACCACCAAGCTTCCCGAGATTGGTCTAACTCCCTGATAAACCAAAACCTCTCTGTCTCTCTCAAATTGCACCCTTCCACGTGATAATCCAAATGATCTATGTACTTGCCTAACCAGTCCATCCCCAAGATGACATCGTAGGACTTAACTCTACAGATCACCAGATCTGCTGGCATGTCCACTTCACCAGTCCACATAGAACGTTTTTAACCGTTCCTAGTGAAAACATCACATGGCCTCCAGCCGCTTGTACTAACCCAAATTCCTCTCCAAGTTCCTTCTGGAACTGTCCCTTTCCGATCATATCCGGATTAACAAAACAATTACTTGCTCCCGAGTCAGACAGAACATGGGTTTCAATATCACCCATTAGCAAGGTCCCTACACATTCATTCTCTAGAATGCTAAGACTCTATACTAACACACAACACGCAAAAACAAATCACAGAAATTGTAAGTACCACACTTACCAGTAATCGGGTGAGAAGTGCTCGGTTCATCAGCTGCTGCTGCACTCGTCGTGTACACCCACGGCATGATGGCCTGTCTTTTGGCATGTGATGCAAGCGCCTCCCCTGCTCGCTTTCCTTGCGACACAACTTGCTCCACCACTCCTGCCTTAGGACACTCACGCTTGAAATACCCTGGTTCTCCACAAACATAGCACACTCGACCGCACTGTCACTGCCGGACACACAAACCACTCGCAGATCCTCCTCTGGACAGTCTCGTACCCGATGCTCTAAACTCCCACACCTGTGGCATCCACTACCACCGCGTCTGCACTCGCCAATGTGAGCCTTGCAATACTTGCTGCACATACTGCAACCCTCAGATCCTTTGCTCGGTACATTCTTCCTGAACTTCCGGTTATGTCCACTAGACTGACCCGCCTTGGGCACGGCTGTCCCAGCCCCAGCTGCCATCAAAGCAGCTTCCGTCTGTCTTGACTCCAACAATGCCGCCTTCTCAACTAGCTCAGACACTGTCCTGAAGTCATGGACCACACATCCATTCCTTAGCTCCACTCGCAGTCCGCTGTTGAACCTACGAATCAGCTTATCCTCTGTATCAAACTCATGGGCCATGTACTTCCTCAGCTGATTAAACTGAGTCTCATACTGCCTCACTGTCAGCGTCCCCTGACTAAGGTACAAGAACGCCTTCTCCAACTTGTTGTAAGCTTCTTGTGGGAAGTACTTACTCCTGAACATCGCTGAAAATGTCTCACACGCACAGTTTGCATTCACCAGTCTTCCAACGATTCCTTTCCACCAGGTGTGTGCATCACCCTCCAAGTAGTGCACGGCTATGTCCCTCTTATAATCCTCAGGACATCAGATAGACTCGAAGTTCCGCTCCAGTCTCATCCTCCACTCATCCGCCTCAATAGGTGTAGAACCTCCAGCAAAGAACTTGGTTTCCAACCGCACCATATGATCCAACACTTTGAGGTAAGTCGGAACCCTCTCCACTTGGTCTACTTCCTCTCCAACTACATCCGCATTAGCCCCACCAGACTGAACTACTTGTGGTACTGCTGCAACCGCCGGAGCAGGAGCCACCGCAGGTAATCTGGCTAGTACATGTGCCAACATCCCTAGCACAGTCTCTAATTCCACCGGTGCTACATTCGCAGCAACCTCAGCTGCAATCCTAGCTATCCCAAATGCTATACCCGCTGCACCCGCAGCATCACCCGCTGCCACATGCACAGCATCCGCAGCATTCCTCGCTGCATTCTCGGCTGCAACTCTAGCCGCCTCATTCGCAACCGCAGCAGCCTGTCTCTCGGTGTCCCTTGCCCTCTCAGAAACATCACCGTTTACTGAGTTCACAGACCCAGCTGCATGTTGCCCCGCATTGTTTCTCACAGCTATTCTAGTATCAACCATCTGCAAGTACAATCATGCCAGTTAGCTGAAGCTAACTCAATACGTGTTCAATAACACAACACATGAAACCTTACTGCGAGACCTGGCAGTGAAGAATGGATCGGACTCCCTTAAACCCCACACAAACAAACAATAGCAGTTACCAGCAACCAGTCCTAGAAGCGTAAAACGCTCTATTACCAACTTGTGGAAGCCCGACCTGGCTAACTAAACCGCAGCCGTGCCTTCACTACATCCTAACAGTTTAATTCTATACTTAGCCAAATTTTAAACTTTTTCTTTGTAGCCAAATTTTAAACTTTTTCTTTTCGTTTATCAATACATAGGGGACTCAAATAACTCATTTCATTCCATTAAAACTTGCATAAAACTCTTAAACAAGATTTAGGGTTCTCATAAAACAATCTCAACGGTTCGCTGATGAATACAATGGATCATCTAGCAACCTAAACGGTAAACACCAAAGCCCATATGACAAAACACACGTCTTAAACATAAAACCACCCAATCACATATCCATCCATGTTCATCACTGCCGCCGGTCTTGCTCCACTTACTGCTTAGATCCTGCACACTCAAAAAGAGAGGCATAAGTATTTGATAAATACTTAGTGAGTACGATCATCTCGTAACACCTTAGTCAGTACCATTCACGCATTCATACTATCAGATTCAACATCCCACATAATCAATTCGCAATAAATATAACATATATCAAACGGCCATGATCGTCTAACCTAATCCTTGATCAATCCCTTTTTTAGACCCATGTCTACTTCAGCGAGAATCCGACATCCCCTAAGCTAGTACATGATCCGGATTACCCTGATGTTAGCTAGACATCATCTATGCCACAGTAAACACCTCCCAATAACATAGTATAGAATCATTTATCACATGTTAACACCCTAACATGCAAATCACACAATCAAACATGCAAAACATCAAACCCTAGCAATCCAACGATCCTAAATACTAACGACAGTCACGCACTCACCTTAGACAAGGTTGGAAACAGATTGGTCAGAAGAAATCCCGATGAAACTCGCGTGGAAACGAAGATATCCGATCACCCTAGGAATCTCTCTGCTCTCGGTACGATCCGATCCCTCTCTCCTCGGCTATCTCTCGATCCGTTCACCTTTCTTCTAGCCAAACTCTGTTTTCCCTCCGAAACCTCACAAAACACGTCTATTAGCTCGAGGTTATCCGATGGAAATTCGACACAAAGGTAAATATTTGATCACTCACCAGATTTTCACGGACGATCTGAAGTGCTCTCGGGTAATTCTCAATTCGCTCGGGTGTTCTTAGATTTTTCTCAACTAAAATCTTTCTCTCACGGTAAAATCCTTAACTTATAAGCGGCTCTCGAAGAAATAATTAGTTTGCCCTTTTTATCAAAGCCAAACCCTAATTATCCACACTTAGCCGAGAAAATCCTACACCGACTAAGAAAATCCCCATTTCCTTGGTTATTAGTGAATAGCCCACTAGCCCAGCCCATATTTCATCGGCTATTTCTTTTTCTCTCAGCCAAACCACCATTTTCCGAGTTATTTTCCCTTTGGTCCGGTTAATTCCCATTCTCTCTCGGATAAACTAAACCACCTCGGCTAAATTCTATTTTCTCTTGCAGACTTTCCTTTTCTCCTGGACACACTCCACTCTCACTCGGACTAACCCCACTCTCACTCGGATTAATCCCATTTTCTCATGGATTGGACCATTTTCTCTCGGATATGGTCCATCCGGCTCGGCTATCCCAGCCATCCATCGACTATTTTCCAGTCATCACTCGACCATAATCTGAACCTCCCATTTCCTAGCCAATATCTGAACCTTGGCTCGATCATCCCTCGGATAATGTCCTGTCCGCCTCGATCATTTCTAATTTCCTCGGATACGGATGCTACAAGATTCATACCATCTCTAGAAGCCCGAAATAAACTAGGTCGGCCCAGTATGGAAACCCAAAGAATATTCAGGTCGGTCAAATAAATGGAAATCTTCGTCGAACTAAATCCGGGAAAGTCAGAAGATTGGTCTTATCGGCAACGAATTTTTCCTATTTCGGATATACAAAGTTATCTCCAAAATACCAACCTGATCGGGTATAAATACAGAAGCTATCAGCTTCTCAAGGGTATCCAAAAATCCCTCTCTCGAGACCTAGGGCAAGTCAACAATCTTATTGTTCTTAGTTCTCAATTTCTTTCTTTCATTCTTTAGGTCGGTGTTCTTATTTCGACGACCTAAATCATCGTATATCTCTCAAGATCCTGCTAAAATCTTAATAAAGATCTCTCTTTAAACCCTACTGACTCTTATTCTTTTATAAATCGAATTTGAGTTATCATAATAACCACCGACTCAAAATTCTATATAGAGATAGACGCATAGGTTAATTACTTTATATCATTCCTATAATTATTTCTAACCATTTCCATCAATCTCCCCACTAACACAAAGAACAAACAATGTCAAAGAAGAATATTGTTTTAAAAAGCTCAAATGGCATGATCTTTGAGGTTGAAGAAGCGGTAGCCCTACAGCCGAAGACCATAGCCTACATGATTGAAGATGACTGCACCACTGACACAATCCCTCTGGCCAATGTCACAGGCGATATCCTCGCTTTGGTGATCGAGTTGTCATCGCTAATTGTGATGGTGGTGGTTCGTCTTCTTCCTCCCAAGAGGATCTCAAGAACTGGGATGCTCAGATTATGAATGATCTCGACCAGCCAAAGATTTTTAATCTGCTTTTGGATGCTGATTTTCTTAACATCAAAACCTTTTTTGATCTCACATGTCAGTTCGTCGCTGATACGATGATTAAAGGTAATACAGTTGAGGAGGTTCGTAACTTTAAACGTCAAGAAGGATTACACATCCGAGAAAGAAGCAGAGGTTCACCAAGAAAATGAATGGGCTTTTAAATGATCACTTTGGATGACTTGAGATCATGATTCATGATTATGTTTCTATTGTTTTCTGCTTGCGCAGTTATGTGTCTTTGATTTTATTTATTACTAGGTAAATACCCGCGTTACGCTGCAGAATATTTTTTTAATTATAAATTAAATTACAGAAATTAATATATAAAATTGAAAATTGACATATTATATTTTTATTAGGGAAAATTCCATAAAAATACATCAACTAAATTTCATTGAGCTCTTTAATACCTGACTTATTTTTGTGCCCGATTTATTACTTCAACTAATTTTTTTGCCTAGTTTAATACCTAACTGGTTTTTGTGCCCAGTTTAATACCTAAAAAATAGAGAATCAAAACAACACATGAATCGCCTTCCAAATCAAATTAGAATGACTCGAGGTGGGAGGACAATAATATGTAGCAATTGTAAGCGTGAATTCAGAGCTTGGGAAAAGCCACCTTCTACCTCTCTTGATGTTGAACCAAAGTATTCAAATACACGATCTGAAAATGAGCATATGTAGACACTGATTCCGTTTGGCACTGTCACCTTCTTACGGGCTTGTTCTCTTCCAGGAGGACGTCCACGACGATGTACAGCAAGCTCATGTGCAGTACCAGCAGGTATAGTAGATGATGAAGTTTCAGTTGGTGGTCTTCTTGCGAGTTGAGGTGCAGTACTTGAAGCTGGCGCAATGGATTATTGTTTGACACGTGAAAGGCGATTCATGTGCCGATATTGTTCTGTTGATTCATGTGCCGATATTAACAATAATCCATTGCACTAATATTGTCTTCCCACCTCGAGTCATTATAATTTGGTTTGGAAGTCGATTTATGTACTGTTTGATCCTCTATTTCTTAGGTATTAGACTGGGTACAAAAATGAATTAGATATTATATTGGACAATAAAAATAGTTGAAGTAATAAATTGAGCACAAAAATAAATTAGGTATTAAAAAGCTCAGTGAAATTTAGTTAATGTATTTTTATAGAATTTTTTCTTTTTATTATTGCAATATAACTAAAACTTACATATTTTTTTGTTGTTGCCAATATCTTTGAAATTTGTTTTTGATTGAAAGAATATTTGTGTCGTACGCAAGCTGATTGCTTCGTGTGCATTTAACCTTTTGATTTTCATTATTGTTCTTTGGTCTGCTCTCTCCTGTTATAATTTTTTTTTCTTTTTGTGAGCTTAACATAAGCATACACATTGCATATGTTTCTATATATTTTTTACTCATTTTAATAAAAGGAAATTGGGTCATATGACCATATTTCTTAGCTAAATTCATCAAATAACCTTAGGAAATTAGGTGTTATAATATTCTTTGTATGTTCTACAATATATACAAAATTACTTTTTTTTTATTTTTTTTTATTTCTTTCCCCTGCGATCTTCTTTTCTCTTCTCATCATTTTCCCTTCCCTTTCCTCTGCTCACCTCCGCTTATCTCATCTCCCATCCTCCCCTTCCCCTCTCCTTGCCTCCCCTCTCCTCTCCTCCCCTCCTCTCGTCTTTTTCTCTTCCTTCCTCTTTTTACAAGAAATATTTCTGTATATACTATATCAAATAGGACTATTCCATAAAATTAATATATAGTATAGTACATACCTGAATATAATATAGTACATAGTTATTTTCTATAATTGATTGTGAGTTATGGTTAGTTTACTAGTTTTTCAAATAACATGGCTATATCTTTTGATTATTTTGTTAATATGGTTATACAACAAAAAAACCCTTTAATATATATAGATTGGAGTGGTCTTATTTTCGAAGCTGAAAGCTTAGCTCAACCCAGTTTGGTTTTTTATTCCGAGTAACTTTCTTTTTTTCTCTCTCTATCTTTACCTACCTGAAATAAATAATTTATCAATAATTACAAACCCAGGGATAGATATTCTCGTAGCTGAAACTCGCTCCAGTAGTTGGCATCAACGGCTTGAGATTTGCATTGGTGCGGCTAGAGGGTTGCATTACCTACACACTGGTGACTCGAAACCGGTGATTCACATCGGTTAAACCGAAAAATTAAAGTATCTGGCTGAACCGAATCATAAACCAAACATTTAAGCCAAATCTCAAATAGAGTGAACCGGCGACGGTAAACTCAAGTGGCTCAGAACTGAACTTCGATCGGCGAGTGTCTCCGGTTAGAAAGTGAAGATGAAGCTTCGGGTTGTGTATCGTAAAGTCTCCGATTACATCCGTTACGATCTCAAAGAAATCATCTTACCTTCTTCACTTCCTGATCCTCCTCACGTCGTAAAACGCCGCAAATTGACCTGGCACGAGCGATAAGCAAGTTCGCCTATTTTTGTCGTGCTTAATGTTACTGTGGAACTCTGTTTGGTTTTCTTCTGTCCGGTTTGTAGTGAATGAATCCTTCAGCTACGTCTTTAATCATCATTGTATCATATTTTAAATGATATACAATCTGGAAGCATGTGATTTCAGTATGTATATTGTGGTGAAAAACAAAATGTGAGATTTCTATTGTTTGAGCAAAAAGGTTCATCCTTTTTCTGATACAAGATTCTTTGATTATTGTGCGTAACTCACTTCTCACTATTTTCAGAGTAATTAGTGCTTTCTCCTTTAGATGAACTTAATCTAATGCTAATCACTGGATGAAATCTTTATTGTTTGTAAATTAGGTGTTGAAGGAAGCTTCAAGGCTTTATGCTGCAAGCTGGGTGCGAGATATAGGTCCAGAGCTTCGTCCAAATGATTACAAGAAGCAGGGTGATGCTGAGAACTTCATGGCGAAAGTTGCAGACTTTGGAACCGGACCTGAGCTTGATCAGACTCATGTGAGTACTGCTGTGAAAGGAAGTTTCGGGTATCTTAATCCCAAGTACTTTAGAAGGCAACAGCTCATTGATAAATCCGATGTTTACTCGTTTGGGATTGTTCTGTTTGAGGTTCTCTGTGCTAGACCTGTTATAGACCCAACGCTTCGGAGAGAGATGGTGAATCTTGCGGAATGGGTGATGAAATGGCAGAAGAAAGGGAATTAATGAACATGATGCTACAAAACATTGTGTGGAGGAAGATATCTTCTTGAAGAAGTCTCTATTGAAGGTCGGGTATAACTTTTACGACGTGAACGGAGCTTGTGGTGAGGATGAATCGGAGTTTGTGGTAAAGACATTGTCACTAAGCTTGACCTTATCTCGTAATTCCTGGTAATATTTGCTGGCCTTATCTTGTTTATAAATCTGTTGGATAGATGTTTACACTTACATTGAAAGATGGAACTGCATCTTTTTTGATTAAACTAAAATTCAGTGTCTAATGTTCTTCTTCATTGTCTCTTTACTTGTTCTTTTGTTGCTCTGTTTGTCTACAAACCAGTTGTTATTAGCTAATAGGCATCATCAATCATTTAAACACTTAATCTCATCTGTGTACGGGGTTTTGCCTGTAATCTTACAATGATCTTTTTAAACGCTTACTCTATAGTATCATTACGTGCCTTTGAAACTCTGTCTGACCTTGATTTTGTCTCCACCCATTTTCCTCATCAAATCTGTTGGTTCGATGTTTTCAGTGAAGATTGAATACAATGAAAGATAAAAATGCATTTTCTTTCACTAAGTGTGTAATGTACTTCTGTTTTGGAATAATTTGATTACGGATTTCCCCTGTTTATCTTAGTTCTCAGTAATTTCCAAGACTGTGAATTAAATTGTTCGATAACATAAGACTGAAACGAACTGGTTAAAATCTAATAATAATTCATGAGATGATATAAGATATGAGTACTTGAAATTAATGAGAAGCAGGAATTTTATAGATAAACCTGAAGAGAAACGGACTGTGGAGATGCACTTTCATCTTTGCTCTTAGCTAAATCAATCTGCAATGTCAGATTTGGAGGCAAAGTGAACCTGTAAAAATGCACACATCTTTTAATGTTAAGAAAATAGCAAGAATCATATTTATGCGAAGAAAACAAAAAGAATGCTGCAGATATATTATCTACAATGTCAGATTTGGATATTCTTTGTTGCTGAATCTATAAAAATATAGACACTCCTATTGCGAATCTATGAACACTCCTACAGATGAAACCCAGGTAGGATCCTAAGTACAATTAGCTTGAACATAATTTTAGAGAAGCAAAACTTAGATTCAAGCCAAAGATAATCTACACTTTCAAACAGTCCAACACTTAACCCCAAAACAATAATACTATCACTGAACTTAGAGACTCACAAACGCAAGCCAGCATTTCAAATCAGAATTCCATGGACGCACGCCAACCTTGCATAGAGGATAAACCATATCTAAGTCTATCATTCTCTCCATCTTCTGAAAACTTATCTGTTTTCGGAGAACTAAGGTATATACCCATCTCTTTCTGCAAAAATCAAAATTGGAACATTTCTCATTTCTTCATGGTACATGAAACGATTCTCGTTCGATAGTAAAATCCAATAAATACGAGAATTTGAGAAATTTGAAGAGGATTCGCAATGAACGTCACCTGAAAATCAGCTCAGGGATCTGTTGTGATCTTAATATTTCAGAGCTATTTCAAATATTGTCACCACCTTGCTTCTCTTTCTTCACCACAATTGCAACTGCTTGATCCCCTCACCGAGAAGTTGACCTAGAGACCTCTTGCTGGAGTTGCGCCGGAGTAAGGTAACATCGAAAATATCGGAGGAGCTCTCAGTAATCTCATCGGAACATCAAATTTTGGTTGAGCTATCCAATGTGTTTGTGTTATCAAAACAATAAAATATACAAAGAATAGTTTTTTTATCTAGATGTATTGAAAACATTTTTAGATAAAGTGTGGACTTTCTTATAGATTTCAATTTTGGTTAGGTTTTCTTTTTGACCCAAATAAATTGAATTTTTTTAAATGAGCTGTATTAATAAAATATTTTTATTGGTTGATTTTTTGTTGAAGTATCATGTTGAGAAAGCTTGAAAAAGCTTAGGTGTCTTCACCGGGAGATACTTATGTGTTATTGTTGTATTGAGGGTTGAGCCGCGTAGCGTGCGGTTAATTTAAATATTTTTTTTATAGTTTTAAACATAATAATCCAATTAATTTGTTGATAGTTTTGTTTATTTAGTTCTCTTTGGACATAATATTATTGTAGAAATTGAAAATCCATGAAAGGGTAGGATATAACTGAAGTTTGGTAGTTTGAACTAAAATGAAGGTTTTTTTATATTTCTATTCTATATAGGAAAAGATCCCTACATCTTTGTATTCTTGTTATAATTATGATGGTTATCTTCTGTTACATTATCTGTGAGAGTATCTGACTTTCAATGCTGGCTATTTTGTTCGGACATCTTTATTTTCTTTTTTGTTGATTTTTTTTTTGACGTCTATAGTTTTGTTGAAGATAAATCTTATCGCTGGTGTTAAATGAAGAGAAAGTTTACTATATATTTCTGATTTATTATTTTAGTTAACTTATGGGTAGAGTAACTATATATCTCATTGAGCTATACATTGGGATAGTTTTGGGTTGACGCTTGTGACCAGTAGCATTGAATATTTGTGGTTTTTGATGCTCAAAGTATAGCGAAAATATGATGCTTGTTTGTCTCTTATATTAAAACATACAATAATAATTTTTTGTTTTGAAATTATAAGTTTTAAAAGTTTAATAAATATGTAATATCAATTAACTGATACAATAATATTTGGTAATGTTTCATTTAAATTTATAAGGCAACACATTATTTCTGTTCAATAAGTTTTCTAATTTTTAATGTATTTTATAAATTAAATAATAATAATAATACAGTAAAAAAATATGGTAATTTAATTGTAATTTTTCATTGATAGTTTTAGCTTAACAAAGATTTAAAATATATGTTGGAATCATTGCTGGCATTTGTCAATTTCAAACAGTATTCAAATTATAAGACAAAAGAAGTTGTCTATATTACCAAATTTCCAATCTTGTAAGCTTTAATTATATATTCATAATTGTAGGTTCGAAATTACTCTAAATATTTTTTTATGATATTAAATACTGTAAAATACACTAATATTCTAATATAATTTTCGACGAAGCTCTATAATTTCTGTAATTCTATTGGTTGTGTTCTAGATTTAAACGCAGGTCCTTATTTTGTCAAGCAGATGGTTTGTTCTTTCATAGGCTCATAGCCTTGTGCTATCCCCCTTGGAAGGAGAAGAGTTTGTGAGGAGTGATTGCAATGGGCATCGGTTATCTAAAGTATGATCGTTTGTTTTGACAATAATGATTTTTTTTTCTCTTGTATTTTGACAGATCAAAGGTAAATACTTCTCTAGCATGTCCTTCGTATGCATTTTTTTGTTTGTTATTGTTTTGTTACAGTGTGTTTGCTCGGTAAATAGGCATTCGATTCCTAAAAGTAATTTGCATCATAAAGCGTAAAACATTATAATTCTAGGACTCATCAATCTTTTCAAGTATCTAAAATATCAGCATATTTAACTTCTAAATAATAGAAAATCACATATAACACTATTTTATTACAATACAGCAAGAGCATTCTAAAAAAACTGTTACAGGGCACTCAAAACCATTATATCTACGTTCATGTCAATCTGACATTATTAAAACAAAAATGATGTATACCATTATTAACTACTTAATCCAAACTGAGAAGAAGAAACAGAAGGGCCATCATCACCTTTTAACGTTTTCACATTCTTATATTCTTTCTGCGACTTTCGTAATTTCAATCATCACTTCGTTTCTCTTTTGCTTCATTGGGATCATTGAAATGCTCTGGCGGTTTAAGTCGACCAACAATAGATCAAACAGAATAAGCAACTTTGGAAGCTGTACGAAGAAACTTTTCAGGTAATATTAAGAAGCGAATGGGTCAGTATATATAGGCTACAAATTGCAATACGTAGTACAAAACCATGTGGCTCAAAGATTCTTCAAAGCTAGACAATCAAAATCAGTGAATCACTTACACACCATCATTTATATTGGCTGAAATTTGGAGAAGGACCTGAACAACAATAGGAAATTGTCGGAGATGATCGTTTAGGCATTCTATATTTTTATCTTTTTCCCATTCTACAACCGAATAATTAACTGAAAACATTCATATTTACATCAGTTTTTGATCCTTTGTTCTTTGCGCTACAGCTGCCTTTGTCCGGCTATTTCGTCTTCAAGGCCATCCTTGATATACCAAAACCCCAATAAAATAGCATTTCTGTCAGTAATCAAAACAGGGAATAGGTCACACCCGAACTGACATTTAAAAGTTATCAAACTCGCCAAAGTTACCAGTAGATATAACTTGAAAACAATGAGGCTTAGAAGTGATGATTAACATCACCAACGAATACAGAAAACTAACATGATGGATGCGATGGAGATACAGCAAATGAGGAAATTTTAATCCTCTGATTTCAAAGCTTAGATAATTGAGAGTATACCCTGAAAAATTTAACAGAAAATTCTAATACTTGGAGATCACTTGCAAGAATCCTCTCAAGTGATAAGCACAAAATAGCCAAATCGAGGTATAGAAAATTTCAAAACCTGACTAAAAATCAAATTTTCAAATGAAGCAAATGAAATTACAAACTATTCAAGGATATTGAACCATATCTTGCATTTTCCTGCGATTGTTGTAACTATATGTAAAACCCATCAATCTATACGCCTAATAGATCACAAGTCACAATAATACAGCGAGATTTGTTTCAATTCGAAGCATCATTCATCTAAATATAATAACAATCCAAGGTAAAAGAATAATGTAGATCGATTTGATCGATTTCTCACGAAGGAGTAGATGCCAGATCAAATAAAGAAAATCGTGATTGTCTACTTACATTTGTGTCAATGGGGAGTGGTTCTACACCCATCTATACATTTCCTTGTCTGAAATTGCGAACCTCACAAGAATGAATGAGCCTGAATAAATTGGCGTAGTGGAGTGAAATCATGGAGTGGTTTGATTGAGTAATTAATGAGTTCGTAACTGGCAGAAGACGATTAGAGTTGTGTGAGAGGGAGAGCAATCGTTGATTTTTTCTGGGATTGAATCGACATGATTGGGGAGAAAGAGGAGATACGCCGAGGAGGTGAGAAGAACGGTTCTTTGAGTTTTGTTCTCTTTTTTATTAGTTGTAATGTAATTGTTTTGTGAGCTGTGTGTGGTTTAGTTTTGGCCCAATGCAAATTATTTGTTATTATTTAGGTGAGAAGATTTGTTTAAAGCATTGCTTTTTTAGGTGAATAGTTTTTATAAAAGAATTTGAGTAATACCTGACGTGGCATTATTTTGGGGCTCGATTTTTAGTTGACGTGGACACCTTTTGGAACCCGAAACAGTCCCTTTTATTTAGTATAGATTAGGTGATGATCCGCGTATACATGCAAGACTATATTTTATATATTTGATGATTTGTTAATATTATAATATTTTATTTTAAATATAATGATAAAATATTTTTAAAGTCATTAAATATATAAATATTATAATAATTAATATAAATACTCTTTCACTTATAGTTTTAAATGTTATTTTATTTTAAAATTATTTTCTATATTATTTTTTTGTTTGAAAAAGATTTGTGCTTAGGCAGAGATTTATGGCTCAAAGGTGTGTTGTATTAAAAAAATTTAACATGTTCCTTGATATATGTTGCAAAATTACTTAAAGTAGTTATGTATTTCACAAGAACGTACCTCGAAGACGCTGATTGGAGAGGGGGAGTCTACGTGTTTCGGGAGTGCTTGGAGCAAAGGTCCACAAAGCTGTGCGCAAGTTCACATGACTTGTGGCATCATCATCTTGACTATCCATCGAGTTATGTTTTATCATAACTATCTAGTGATTTAGATTTTAGTAAACAAGTTCTATCAGCATAACCTTGTGAAATTTGTTTAAGGACAAAACAACCCCATTATTGTTTTAATGAAAATCCGAATAAAGCTGTTGGCGTTTTTGATTTGATTCACTGTGATATTTGGGGTGTATATCGAACTCTCTCCTCCTCTGGTGCAGCTTATTTTCTTACTATAGTTGAGGGTCATTTTTGGGCTGTTTGGGTATATTTTTTATGAGAAAAGAGAGAAGTATTTCAGCATGGTCGAAAAATAATTTAACAAACGAGTGAGAATAGTGAGAAGTGATAATGGTGGTGAATTTATAGGCATGAAGACGTACTTTAGAACAGTAGGGATTTACATCAGACGAGTTGTGTCTACACTCCACAACAGAATGGACGAATATAGAGGAAACATCGGCACATTCTCAATGTAGCTCGATCTATGATGTTTCACGCGACTTTACCGGTAAGCTTTTGGGGAGAGTGTGTATTAACAGCATGTCATCTCATCAATCGCTTTCTGTCAAGTATCTTGG